ATTTCCTCCACTCTTCAGTTTTGGTCTTGGACTCATTGCGATTTGGAGGCATGCTCCCGTGTCGTTCTGTATTTCAGCCCAGTTCTCCCCATGTTGTCTGGGGATGACCCAGCGCGTCTTTCTCCTTCCTTTTTTCACTTTTCCTCACAAACCACAGTCTGAGAGGGAGCCACAATGTCGTGAAATAAGAGAGACTTTATCCATCGCATTTTATCTGAGGACCACGCCGCTGTTCTGGGAGGCAGCTGCCAGCGATGACCATCTCCAGAGATCAGTGCACGCGGAGGGAGAGCCCCTTCCTCACCCGCACCTGCTACAGCTCCTGACAGCTTCATGGCTCCGGCCAGAATTTAGGAGGGCAGTTGCCAGTGAGGGACGGTCGCCCAGGATTCCACACTAGCAGAATCATACACACAGCCCTTCAGGTGACATTGCCGTTGAAAGTCGTTTTAAAAAAGAAGTTTCAGGGACTAAAAGCAAGTACCCTAAGCCAACTAAAGGACAGAGGTTTTAACTCTGTGGCCCAGATGAACCCTGAACGTGACATCTCGGGAAGGCTGAGAGCTCCCTGTCTCTCGAATCAGACTATTTATACCACACCTGCTTCTCCTGAGGTTCGTGACTCCTGAGACAGAGAGCTGAGGGATCCCCGTAGAAGCTGCTGCTGTCCTCGTGCCTGGAAGGCTTCAGAGAACATAACTGATTGGATCTCACCCTCTCCCAGAAGAGTTTGCTCACAAGATCTGTGAGGTCGCCTGAGTATCAAATGCGTTTTGTAAATTACACGTAATCATGCGTCATCTCACTGGACCCTCACCGGACCCTCACTGGACCCTGGAAACGGGAGGAAAACCCCTCCAGAGGTGAGGCTGGCCCATCCAGCTTCCCCGCCACGCCCAGCATAGGGTGCAGAGCGGAAACCCACACCTCAGCTCTGTAGCTCGATCTTCCCTGTGTCACCTGACACAACTCGGCGTCTGTCGGCAACCCCAGCGCTCCTGCCTTAACTCACCTTTTTTGGTGTTGGGAAAATTTCTTAAAAGCCAATAGACACGTTACGTTTTTAATTACACAAGACTAGTTATAATACATTTTGTGTATTAGAACCTGGTTTCCAATCCCAGCAGCGAACAGCGGAAGATAGACAGTGTGCTCTAAATGTGGATGTGAGGCCCCAGCACACGGAGCCTCCCTGGTCCTGCACCTCGGCCTGTCCCCTCCCCACACAGTCCAGGTCAGCATCGTGCTGAGGTCAGCAGTCGGGATGTGTGAGGAGTTACAACACCCAGTGTTAGATGGAGCTGATACATTCCCAGTTTCTGAGCTGTTATTCACTCGGCCAGCTGCTTTGCAGAATGACTTCCTTTGTAAATGAGAGGGCAGGTTTCCTTGTACATAGAAATACTGTGTTACTTTTATCGGGAAGCTATTTAGTTATGTTTTTTACACGTGGTAGTTAAACAGCAAACGTCTTGCCATTTCTTCTGGATGATTTCTAAAGAGCCAATCCAGCAGAATTTGGGGTGTGTGGTGACCATGGGGTGCGCAGTGACTGTGGGGTGTGTGATCGGTAGCCACAGGGTGTGCAGTGGCCATAGAGTGAATGGTTCCTGGGGGGTATGTGGTGGCCTTGGAGTGTGTGGTGGTCATGGGGTGCATGCCGTCTGTGGGGTGCATGCCGGCTGTGGGTTGCATGCTGGCTGTGGGATGCATGCTGGCTGTGGGTTGCATGCTGGCTGTGGGATGCATGCTGGCTGTGGGGTGTGTGCTGGCTGTGGGGTGTGTGGGGTGCACGGTGCCTGTGAGGTGTGTGCTGGCTGTGGGGTGTGTGCTGGCTGTGGGGTGTGTGCTGGCTGTGGGGTGTGTGC